TATACCGATCCTATTATAATAATTTCTGGGATAAGTTAATGAAAAAGGATCCGCAAACAAAGTCGATTTATGGACAAGAGCTTTTGGATCAAATTACAGCAACTATCAAAGAATATAAATCAATTCCTAATAAAGGAATCATAACTGATGAATCAGTCACTGTTAAACACATGGCTAGAAGGATTTCAAATCACGATGAAGAGGAACAAAATAAGATGATCCTAGACTATCTGGAAGAAGTTAAAAAGAGTCTTCTTTTGAATTTAAATCAATATGCAAAATCAGATTCCTCAATGAGAAGCGAGGCTAGTGAAGATATGCACGAGGCCCAACAAATTGAAGACGAAGATCCAGCAGATACGCTGAAAAGAGCGGAAGAACTTTTGGCAAAGTTAAAAGAAAAAGCTTAGTGGATTCAACTTGAAACAGTAGATGAACTGTTCAAGATAAGCACTACCAACAGTGGATGTACTGTTTAGGCCCCATATGAGGCCCCTTTTTACTATTCCTAGATGCCTTTTCCTATCTATAAATAAGGGCATTTTATTTTGTAAGAAGCAGGTTTTAGAAACCAACTTCTCTCTACTCTCTCTCTCTCTTAAGATTGTAAGTTCTACTGCAAGTGTGCCGGACTTTGGCCGGAAAATAAAAACTTCCTGTTTGTCTATAAGGTATTCTCTTCTTTCATACTATTCTAATTACTCCTATACAAGCCGATGATCGGCTAAAGTTTTATATCTATGCCGGATAACTAACTTCAATTATATATCTACCATGAAAGATCTACGCTTTATCTAAATATGCATAAATTCTTATAACTTTCTTGACTTGGTTCCGAGATGGTGGTACAGTCAAAATCAATACAACAAGTTAATGGCTTTGTCTTAGTGACTCCGTCTAGTCAGCCGTGGTCTTAGCCCGCAAAAGAAGTTAAAAGGGCGCTTCATACCCGGTTAGAACTACTAGACACATGGGCTCATTAACAATACGTATTTGATTTTCGACAGACCCTTTGCTTGGGTAAACTCATTGGTTCTTCCATACAGTCATTAAAATTATATGAATTTAAATATATTTCTTTTCGAATTATTTTCGGATGTTGACAAGCTTCTGATATTTCTGATAAAGAAATTCCTTCCGTTTCTGAAATGGAATTTGACCCTAACGACAGTTAATGATGACTGAACACCAAATTGATTTTAGTCCAGGTTCACTTGCACGAAAATATATTCAAAATGAATTTCTCCTAGATCCATGATCAAAGAGAAATATATCTATGCCGAAATACTTCACAACTAAGAAGCAGGTTTTAGAAACCAACTTCTCTCTACTTTCTTTCTCTCTCTCTCTCTTGTAAGTTTTTAAGTTTTTGCTGCAAGTTTGCCGGACTTTGGCCGGAAAAATAAAAGTCTCCGTTTGTTCTAAAGGTATTTCTTCTTACTACTGTACTACTTCTCTTTGTTAAGCCGATGATCGGCTAAATATTATATCTATGCCGGATAACTAACTTCAATTATATATCTACCATGAAAGATCTACGCTTTATCTAAATCCATAAGTAAAAAGCTAGCCAAAGCAAGGTAGAAGTAGCAGTCTCAGTAGTGGTTGCAGGTGCAGATGAAGAAGACTTGGATAAAGGCACGTATGAGTAGCAGAATGGAAGTTGATAACCTAGGATTTGCCTTAGTCAAAAACAGGGAAGACGCTGTTTATACTTTGGTCCTGACCATTCTAGAACATTTTAGTGGAAGATTTACCAACCAGTATGAAACCATTAGATCCCTTCTTAATGGTCTAAGATGTAGACATTTGGGAGAATTTAGATGGTATAAAGATACTTATCTAAGTCGGGTAATGGAACTTCCCGAAAATGGACTAGAATTTTGGAAAGCCAAATTCATAGATGGCTTACCACCATTATTTGCGGAAAGAGTTAAGAAAACTCTAAGAGATCCTCAAGGAATTATTCCTTATAGTAATTTTACGTATGGAAAGCTTATTGGAGCTTGTACTCAGGAAGGCATAAATTTATGCAACGAGTTAAAACTCTCTAGACAACTCAAAATGGATAAGCTAAGAGAGAGATCTCAATTGGGAGATTTCTGTACACAGTTTGGATTACCAGATGCCTCTAAAGGTACCAAACACGAGAGTTCTAAGACTGAACATCATAGATCTCATCGGAGAAAAAGATCTAGAAGATCTAGGGAAGAAAGGGAAGAGCGTAAGGCTCATCGAAAATCTCATAGATTTACAAAAAACAGGTCAAAAAGAGATCTTGATAAGATCAAATGCTACAAGTGTGGAAAATTTGGACATATAGCTCCAAATTGTAAACTAGAAAAGCTTAAAGCTTTAGAACTAGACGAAGATATTCAGGAAAAGGTTTATAGTTTCCTCTATACTTCTGGTTCTGAGTCAGACTATGAAGAGTATTTTTAAAAAGTAAAGTGTTTGATTAATTTTTGAAGAGAAAATAATTGATTGTTAGATAAGACAAAGTAAATATTAAAAAAATAGTGCAACTTAAGAGTAAAGGAGTCAAATTTAGATGTTTCCAAAGTGCTTGCTGATAAGCACAAGAGCTTGGAGGAGTAATTAGGGACTCATTGGGCAAGATTCATCAAGGCCTTCATTCTCCCATTGGGCCAAGGCACCAGCAACTTGGCTGAAGTCTCTTTCTTCCTTTTTGAGCTTGAAGGTACCTTTGAGGATATAGTAGAACGTGCATGAGATCAAGAAATTAGTAATAGACCATGAAGTGATTATTAGACACTGTTTTAGAGAAAATACAAAATAGCGAATAAATTAGCTTTTACGAGTCATAACACTGATGTAATTAAGGTATATATACAGTATAGAGACTTATCAACCACCATCAGAGCTTTACTAATTACTGATAGGTGACAATTTCCATCTCTTAGAGTCAAGATGAGAAAATCGAAAATGCTCCAATATGAGCCTTTTTGAAACTTTTCCTTTGTCACTGTTTTGGGCTAACTTTTTTTATTTTCGTCGTATATATACATTTTCTATAGAAGGTTAGGCATACCGTCCTCCTTCAAATGTAATCAGATGTCATTAGTCAAATTAGTTTTTGAAGAAAAAAAAGGAAGAAACAAGCAGGAGAGTTTTGCCCTTGGCATCAAGAGTAACTTCGTCTAAGGATGTAGACAAGGACTAAGACAAAATAAAGATATGCTTTGTGCTTAAGAAAATATTATAATTGTCATTGTATTACTAGAAATTATAGTATTTTTTTACTAATGAGGGCGATCGACTATTTATAGGTTACAACAAGGGAGCCTCGACCAATAAGAAGGTTCTACTAGAGTCCTAAAGTTCGAATGCTAACATGTCTTAAAATTGTTGGTGGCACCAACTAATATTTATGCACTGTTCATATCTGTGCGAGGTTATTTGGGCATTTGACCCCTCTGCTATTTCAATTGCCTTTTGTCTTTTTTTCCCACATCACCATGAACATGATCTCTAACGTTGACTTTTTTCGAGGCTGCTACTCCAAAGTGGACCTCATGGAACCATATATCCTCGATAGACCTTAGTATTTCAGTGTCTTGATTATGTTATTTTGGTACGAAGGAATTTTATTTTTTTTATTAAAAATAATTTTATTGAAAATTGTGTTTTGGAAAATCAGTGGATAACTTTTTATTTAATTTATAATATTTATAAAGCAAGCAAAATAGTATTATCTCAACTGCATTTAATTGTGTATTCTAGCAAAATACTATAGGATGGGATAGGATGAGGAGTGAGAGTTAGACATTGGTAGGGAGTGGGATAGTCAAACAAAATAATGAAGTTAAGATGTCACTTATAAAACTTATTTTTGATAATTTTATTAGGGTATTCATTTTTCTTATTTTTGAAGTACTTGCTAGAGAAATATATTTCAAAACACATTGACCAATCAAACATGATAAAAATTTAAAAATATTTTCTCGAAATATTTTTCTCACTAAACACAATCTATATCAATATTTTCTACACATTTTTTTCTCATTTGCATGATAAAAGAATTACTGTCTCAATTTATGTGACACTTTCATTTTTCGAAAATCAAACAGTTTAAGTTTGATCGGAAATTTGCGTATGCAATCTTCAAAAAAAATTGAAATGAAATTTATATATTTATAAACTACGTAAAAAGTGATAATTGACAATTCAAAATATTTAAAAAATATATGAAAAAATTTACTGTCGTTAAAGATAGACTCGTTTGAATCTCGAAATCCAAAAAGTGTCACATAAATTAGGACAAAAAGTGTATATTTTATGAGTTTTAACTTCTATACATTATCGTATATTTATTTTACCCCGTCAAATTATTTTAAAGAAACCTTAATTTGCAAGTAATTATTCGTAATAACTAATAGATTAAATTGACACCAACACAAATTCTTTATATTATCCATATTAAAATCTTTTCCAATAGGATATACTCCCTTCGTTTCAAAGAAAGTGACCTGATTTGACTTGACACGAAGTTTTTTAGAAAATAAAGAAGACTTTTGAATTTTGAGGTCCTAAATTAAAGTTATATCAAATGTACTAAATTGCCCTTTAATCTTGTGGCTATAAACATGTCACATGAAAAATTGAAATTAAAATGTTATCAAAAAAAGAAATAGGTCATTCTTATTGAAACAGACTAAAAAAAAAATGAGGTCATATTTTTTTAAACGGAGAGAGTAATAAATTACAATAATTAGTAAAACTAAAGAGGAAAAGGTAGGGAAGACTAAGTCAAAGTAATTATAACGTTCCAATTAGGAAGCTGAAATAAGGTATAGTTTATAATGGAGTAATAATTTTCTTGAGTATTCCCCCTTTGCCTTCACTGTCAATGTAGCCGTTGTAGGTCATCCGCGTCAAACACGGGGGCCTTTGGTTTCCCCATTAATGTGGACCAGCCGAACTGAAACTCTGCATATAAACAAACAAATAAAGCAAAATATATCTACATGAATTATCAAGAAAACTAGCCGTTAAGGACCATATTATTCTTCTGTTCACTTTGTCTTCAACCTTAACCGTTGCTCTTAAAGATTCTCTCCATTTACACATCCTCACATGCTATGTTTCACTACTCTTTCTTCTACTAGTATTTATCTCTTTCTTTTCCCTTTTCTCTTCATTTAAACTTGAAAAAAGTTGAGGGGAGGAAGAAAAAGAAGAGTTTAGCATTTCTTTGTTTAAGTTCTTCTTCTGATTGGAGATTCTGAACTTGTTTTAAGTTTATGGATAGGTGGGATACTTCACTGAGTGGATTTTACAACTACCCTTTTCGATTCTTGAATTTATATTCAGAAATTAAAGATGGGTCTAGCTGGGTTCATGACAAGAAAAAGGAAAAATGGAAGCTTTCTTCTTCTTGGCATAATACTCTGTTCTTGTTTGTTGTGATTGTGTTTTCTGTTTTTCCTATTATATCAGCTGGGAGGAATTCAGATGGGGTTATTGTGACTCAATCTGATTTTCAAGCTTTAAAAGCTATTAAGCATGAATTGATTGATTTTAGGGGAATATTGAAGAGCTGGAATGACAGTGGTCTTGGAGCTTGTGCTGGTGGTTGGGTAGGAATTAAGTGTGTTAATGGGGAAGTAATAGCTATACAGTTACCCTGGAAGGGATTGGGTGGAAGAATATCTGAAAAAATTGGGCAATTACAAGCTCTTAGAAAGCTTAGTCTTCATGACAATGTTATTGCTGGTCCTGTTCCAACTTCTCTTAGCTTCCTACCAAATCTCAGAGGTGTTTACCTTTTCAATAATCGGCTTTCGGGTTCAATCCCACCATCAATTGGAAGAATCCCTCTTCTACAGACTCTTGATCTTAGCAACAATCAGCTCAGTGGTACTATCTCTCCCAGTCTTGCAAACTCCACCAGGTTATACAGACTCAACTTGAGCTACAATGCACTTTCAGGGTCAATCCCAGTAAGTTTCACTCAATCTCCTTCTCTTACTTTTCTTGCACTTGAACATAACAATCTATCTGGATCAATTCCTGATACTTGGGGCAGTGTGGTTGTGAACAAGTCTTATCAACTTCAGTATCTTACACTTGATCACAATCTTTTATCTGGGAAGATTCCAGTTTCAATTAGTAAGTTAAGCATGCTTGAGGAGATTAATCTTAGTCATAACCTTATTAATGGGACTATTCCTGATGAATTAGGTAGTCTCTTAAGGCTTACTGTTCTTGATTTATCTAATAATACCATAAATGGAACTATTCCTGCTAGTTTCTCAAACCTTTCAGCTCTTTCTACTTTGGATTTAAAGAGTAATCTTCTTGATAGCCAAATCCCAGATACCATGTATAGAATGAAAAACCTTTCAGTGCTGGATTTGAGTAACAACAAATTCATTGGTCATATTCCAGCTACTATTGGAAATATTTCTAGGCTCACCTCACTTGATTTATCTGGAAACAATTTCACTGGTGAAATTCCAAACTCTCTTGTTTCTTTGGCAAATCTGACTTCTTTGGATGTGTCTTATAACAATCTTTCTGGGATTGTCCCATCTCTTCTTTCTAGAAAGTTCAATGCAAGTGCTTTTGTTGGAAATTTAGAGCTTTGTGGATATAGTCCATCAACTCCATGTGCTTCACCACCCCCTCAAACTCTTCCTTCTCCTGTTAGTGGGGTTGTCAAGCCTCACCGCCATCGTAAACTTAGTACCAAAGATATCATTCTCATAGCATCAGGTGCTCTTCTAGTTGTTCTGCTTCTTTTGTGCTGCATGTTACTTTGCTGCTTGATTAGGAAAAAGGCAAATTCGAGAGCGAAAAATGGTAGCAAAGCCGGTGGCCTAGCTACCACTACAGGAAGAGGTGCGAAGTCAGTTCCAGCTGTAGGAGGAGCTGAAGTTGAATCAGGTGAAGCTGGTGGAAAGCTAGTCCATTTCGATGGACCTTTCGTGTTTGCAGCGGACGACTTGTTGTGTGCCACTGCAGAGATCATGGGGAAGAGCACTTACGGGACAGCATATAAGGCAACATTGGAGGATGGTAATCAAGTTGCAGTGAAGAGGCTACGCGAGAAGATCACGAAAGGGCAGAAAGAATTTGAAGCTGAGGTTGCTGAATTAGGAAAGATTCGACACCCAAATATTTTGGCGCTTAGAGCTTATTACTTGGGACCAAAAGGAGAAAAGCTTCTTGTGTATGATTATATGTCTAATGGAAGTCTCTCATCCTTTCTTCATGGTAAAATTGTCTACACTCACTCACTGTTTGTTTGTATATTCCTTTTGGTGTTCCTTATCATGTCGACAATCCTAACATCATACTTGTGTTCTCTATATGCAGCTAGAGGTCCCGAGACAACGATAGACTGGCCAACAAGGATGAGGATTGCTATCGGTATAACAAAAGGAATCTGCTTTCTGCATACCAAAGAAAACATAATTCATGGGAATCTTACATCAAGCAACATTTTACTTGATGAGCAAAACAATCCAAAGATTGCAGATGTTGGACTCTCCAAGCTTATGACCACTGCTGGAAACACCAACGTGATTGCCACTGCAGGCACGCTAGGTTATCGTGCACCAGAGCTTTCTAAAATCAAGAATGTAAGCACCAAGACTGATGTCTATAGTCTTGGAGTGATCATTTTGGAGCTCTTAACTGGAAAATCCCCTAGCGAGGCAACGGATGGTCTCGATTTGCCTCAGTGGGTAGCTTCTATTGTGAAAGAGGAGTGGACTAATGAAGTGTTTGATGTGGAACTTATGAGGGATGCACCTAATATTGGTGATGAGTTGCTTAACACATTGAAACTAGCTTTGCATTGTGTTGATCCCACACCAACTGCTCGACCCGAAGCTCCGCAAGTATTACAGAAATTGGAGGAGATAAAACCAGAGGTGGTGTTAGCAGCCACTAGTTCTGGAGATGATGGCACAACAGTTCAAGAAAAGAGTGATGAATAATAATCTCACAAGGCTGATTGGAAATTTTTGAGCTTTTTACTTGATATCTATTTGTTTATTCTTTCATTTTTTTTTACAGTTAGTAGTGGAAATGCTGTTTTATACCAAGATCTACTAAAAAACTGTATATAGGAGATTGTGATTGCTGCATAGGTTTTACTGATGAAGAAAAACATTTTATTCAATTCTTTCAATAAAATAAACGCATATTATTTATTTTCATGAGATAAGTGATAAATTGATTACTCTTGTTGTTTTAAATGTGATTATAAAATTAAGCTCAAAATAATATAATATAGAGAAGAAGACAATATAAGTAGATGAAGGAGAAAGACTTTACTTCTATTTAAGTGTCCTCCAAACGGTGAATGATATCTCTATTTATAGTGTTGAGATATTATACATACATGAATTCAATTAATTCTTGAAGAAATCAAATGGACAATCCACTATTTAATGGATTTATAACATGATTCATATATGTCTTTTAGGGTAAGGTTTTTGCAAACCCCCAAGAAAGACATATGATAGCTTTAATTATGAAAGCAATTATCTATGCTAACTTCTTTTACCCCCTCCGTTTATTTTTACTTATCCACTGTACTATTTTGAGATGTCAACAATACTTGTCTAGTTTATAAAACCAATGAACATTTATCATTTTATCATTTTCAATGTTTAGATAACTTATATTTAATAAAGGCGATTTGATAAAATTATTCTTATCATATATTATTTCTTAACCTTTGTGACAAGCCAATAAATAGTAAATAATTATTATTGGACAGAAGAAGTATTTCTGAAACGTGACATTTATGAAAGAAAACATATGAGTTTCTTTGGTTGTAAAAAGATCAAATTTGATCACTATAAGTCAATAACAAAAAAAGGAAAAATGGGGTCGTTATTGGTTACTAAAAACGCTAATGTTATCATTAAGAAACAATTAGTCTGATCGTTATACTTCCTTAAAACTATATATTTATAAAGACGACATTAGTGTCAAAATTTTAGGTTTGTTTTTTAATAAACATATTTTTGTATTTTGATTCATAAATTTAATAATTGTGCGAATAAGAATAAGAAAAAGTAAAATAAAATATAAACACATATGGATTATACATATATATATACTTGATACATGTAATATCATAAAAAAATACTATTAGATTTTATGATAAATTCATAAAAAAATATTCTATTTATAATATTGATGAACTTAAATAACAATTTATAAATAAATAGTATTTGAAGGTATTTTTTTACCAACATCATATATTCATTTGATATTGGTGTTTGGATTGACATTTTTTTAAAGTAGTTTATAAGATAAAAGTAGCAAGTTAGTCATATTCAACGGCTTTTAACTTATATTTGTACCTTTTCTAAGGATTCGTTTAATCCCAAATATATTTGGAAAAACTTGGGAAGTGATGTTTGGCCATACAACTTGTCATAATTTATTAAATATCCCAAATTTTTTTAGTATTTGAGTCAAGTTTTAATATTTGGAAATTTTAAAAAATTACCCCAAAATTTTATATTTTATAAAAAATACCAATCATTTATTAATTCCAACTAATATTTATCTAGCAAATTACTTCATTAATAATTGATAACTATTCCTCTCCGCTATCTATACAGAATGTGACTAAAAAAGAATAATTTGTTTTAATGGGTTATATCACCTTGAATTAGTGACAAGTTTGAATATACGATTAATGTATTGATATTGTACATGTTGTTTTGTTGTTGATAATTGCTATTGTTCGCAACAAATTTCGTAGCGTTGAAAATTAACTGACAGCAAAATAAATAAAAGAAAATGTGATTTTTATTGATGAATTTGTGAGTATAATTCTGTTACTCTCTTGATTCTTCTCTCCTAATGTTTCTCTGCGATTCGAGGGCTGTAAGTAGCGTATTTATCGAATGTAGGACGATGTAGACCTCCTTAAGATGTGTTTGATCTTTGGAAACGTCGGGAAGCACTTCATCATTTCAAGTCTCCAAGAAGAACCCTGTTGACCACTCATTCGAAGAGCTATGTAGTTGATGTTGTAGCTTTCTCCAATGTTTGTTGGAGTCTTTTTTTTAGTCTTTCCTTGAATGTCATGTCTATTCCCTATTTATAGTTGTAGGGGGTGAACAAGGTTGCATATGATTGGCCAAAATATGTCATTTTGACACTTGGTGGATTATGATTGGTTCTTCAATTTGACTGGGACTACCACATCATTTGGACATGTGACGTCATTTTTTTTGTCATGGATGCCTAGTCATCGTGACATGTGGCATGAATTTGAGCTTCAAGGTGAAATGGACCTTGAACTTGAATTTAATAAAATACACTTAGTTATTTGTACAGCCCAAATTAATTATTCAACCCAAATAAATATGGATTCGATTTAAATTTAGTATGAATTTGATCCAATAAAATTTATGTGTCTAAAGTTATCAATTATGTTATAAAGTTTTTTTTTTAACGGAACATGTTCATTATAGAATGACAATATAAACTTAAAAGTATTTTTAATAATTTGTAGAACTTATGAGTACAAATCATATTTTTTGACATAGTCAAATATTTTTGTCATGACCTAAGGTTGACCCTAGGTATAACATGGCGTATAAGACCCCGAGAGGCCCCATACAAGCCACTTAGCATTCATAGGCAAGATAATAGAAATTTAAGCGATTTAAAAGATCATTTCAAACATAGAGTTTTATAAAACGAAGCGGAAACTAACAAAGTCTCAAGCCATCTAGTACATAAGAAGAAATCGGGACGTAACCCGTACATCAAGTTCAAAACTGAAATGAAATGACAATATGAAATAAGAGCTCGGTCCTTGAAGTATGAGGACTCACCAATCCTCCAACTTCAACTATAGATCCCTAGCCATGGTAGTGCGAGTCTGGAGCGTCGGACCCTACATTTTTATAAGAAATGTAGGAAAGAGTATGCATTAGCACAAATATGTACCAATTATGATAGTGATGCATGAAGTGTAAAAATCATGATAAAGGGACATTTTCGTGATATGCAATGACCAAGCTAAGACATGATATAAAAGAGTTAGAGAACTTAAGTCATAAAACTAGGTCAATGCAAGTAGACATCATCCTAATTCACATGTGAGATAATTATGAAGTAACCTTGATTCGTTGATGTGGGAGAATTACCTTTAACCAACATGTAAGACTATGAGCTATCAACATGGAATTTGGTGTCTATTCCACACCGAAAAGAGGTGTCCTACTTTCCAAGGCAAGACCATGAACTTCTAGCTTACGTGGATCCACTAGCTAATGTCTATCTAGACAAATCTTTTTTTGGCACATAGTTTATGGGACATGGGTAATTGCCACTTGTCCAGTCGGTGCTAAGCATAACTCCCACGAAATATTCATTTATTCTTAACTTTTCATAACAATCATAAGACATGAGTAATAGCCACTTGTCTTAGCATTGGAGGTCATGGATAATCGCCGCTTGCCTCATTATTAGAATAGCTCCTTATCTTTGATTCATTTTAGGGAGAAGATATTTCAACTTTAGAATCCTTTATGTGAGAAAACCTTTCACATTCATACTTTCATTTGTGTATGAGAAATCCTTTCACAACACAACAATAATCATATTGATACTTCACTCTCAAAGCTTCCTTAAAATATTTTTATTAATTTCATAAGAACATACATATATTCATAAAAGCATCTTTCATAGTTCAAAATCCAATTTTTATCATCATAATCTAGAAAATATGGGATAAGCATGGGTTTATGGGGATTCATCATAAAATCATTGCATTTTATCAATTCATGCATAATACTTCATAACACAATCAATTATATCAATATTGAAAGGAACCCATGACATAGAAGAAAACCCTAACTCAATTGGAAATTTCTAACTTTCACTACTAAAAAAACAGTGAATACCGACCTAAAA